ATTTCTCATATAAGAAAAGCCATGTGATATATGTGTGTCTGTGTGAAATGCAGGAAAGAAGTTAGGTCTAAAATGATCAGAAGCTGGACAGGTCTGAAAGTCCAAGCACTTGCCCTGAGTCCAGGTCGTGAAGAAAAAAACAACCTGTGTAAATAGGTAGGTAAGATCTGCTCTGCTTTTGACAAGAAATTGTTTATGACTTGGTTTATTTTATATTCCTAACCATGTATTTTCCTTCAGTGTTCTATATTAATTTAACCCAACTATGTACCAAATGACTAGCAAATAATATAGGTCAGCTGCAGATATTCCATCTGTGTTTGGGGCAATTGCCCAAGGACTCTTCATTTTGCTTCTGAGTCTTTAAGTCCTGTTCTGTTCTATTTCTGCCTTGCTTCTAACCTGCTGGCTTCATTCCCATTTTCTGGTCTAGTCCTCAGCCAGTCCTGGCTTTGATCATTGACATGATCAAAGACATTGGCTGTATCCCACCTCTACTTCTTTCTCTTTCTGGTCATTTCAGAGAAACTATCTTGGCCATGTAGGTTCCAGTCTACAAATTCAAGCCCTGGCTGTCCATCTCCTGGCTGACTGTCTTTCTGAATGGGTCTGTCCTAGTCTCCAACCAAAGAGAACCAAATATTATGGAAGCATATTTATTGTTATGGTAACATGGAGAGTCAGGTGGCAATATTCCAGCGACTGTGCTCAGGACATCTGGGACTAAAAAAAAAATTGTACCTCAGAGGGAAGTAGAAAAGTAAATCTTTGCTGCTCTCAGTGCTTCTTTTCTTTGTTATCCTCACCCAGGCTTTACCTCCTCTGACTATCTAAAAACCCTGACACAATCTGGAGGCACTGTCTGAATTTGTAATTCAAATTTAGAAATTCGGGACAATTACACAGGATTCTCAGGAGAAGTAGAAAGCATTGTTCTATAACTTGCTTGACCATGAGTTCAGCTTCCCATAGATTTTTGACAGCTCCCATAGAGTTTCTGAACTCTGTATGGGACTTGTTTGAGAGATTGCTCTGTTTCAGTGGAAAAGATTGAAGCTGTAAATACTGCTTTTGACAAGAACAGAGGAGAGGGTAACTAGTTGAAGTACAAACAATTAAACTCTGAATTTTCATCCAGGTGCTGTCATGGAATGGCCTTATGTTGGGGCCAGTTTCAAAATTTCAGAACAACCTATTTAGTAGAATGACCCTATTGAGTGAGCCTGGCAGCCTTGCTAAGTCCCTTGAATTCCAGCCAGGGCAGAGTATAGTTAGCTTCCTGGCCACACCTTTCTGCTAGTCTGGCTTTCAGTTTCCAGAGGAAACAAGACCTTGCTTCCTCATTAGCCTGTGAGGATTCTCTAAAAGGTGGCCAAGTACAAGTCAAAGTTAGTGCCCTCTCGGACAATCCAAAGTGTTTAGCACCTTTATCTTGCATTTCTGGTAAAAAATAAATTCCTGTTGCTTAAGCCACCAGTTTATAGCATTTCATTATGACACCCTGACTAATATCTTTTCAATGAACTAATGTATATCTTTTAAATGAAAAAAAAATTAGTGATCTATCCATAGGCCCTTGGTGTTACCATCACTGTGCCTGATTCAGTTATCTACTGATATCAAGAGTGGTTCAGGCTTCAGATTGACATTCTTCCTATTAAGGAACTGACTAATAAATTATAAAATTGGGTCAGTAACTGGGATGTCAGGGAACAAGATAAGAACTATGATGGAAAAGAGAGTCTACTATCAGAAACTGAGTTTATAAGTCACTGAATCAATATCAGACTGGAGTTGAAGAACAAGAGCAAGATGATGTCTTGAGTCAAACAAGTAGGAAGATAAACAACTACATAGCCCATTTCATTCCATATCACTATTCACCAGTGGGAAAAGGTCTGATGACAATGTCATTGTATACACACATTTGAGGTTGGTTATGCATACATGTGCTGCAGTAATAGGAGTATGGATGTTAAACCGTAACATACAAACATGCCTTAAAGTCTAGTGAGAGGAAAATTATAATCCAACAATCACTGGCCTGATCATGAACCTAAACACTACAAGCAAAAATAGCTGCAATTAAATATGGCCAACTAACTGAAACAACATGGATGATGCTGGAAACAAAGCATCCTTCTTTCAAATTATAGGAATTGTAACTACATAAAACTTGATTCTGGGCATGCATTGTACAGCTCTGCAGAGACAAAACTCTGAGTCCTCTGAAAATCATATCTGTGAACTAATTTTAATTCATGAATAGAAAATTTTAGTACATTTTTATTACAGTCTTTCATAAGTATCCATGGAGGATGGTTCCAGGACTGCCTGTGAATGTCAGAACTCATGGATACTCAAGTCTCTATGGAAAGGGATATAATACTTGCATATAACCTATACACACCTTCCTGTATACTTTTAATCATCTCCAAATTACTGTATTTGTAATATCTAATGTAATCCAACTTCTATGTATTTGTTATACTGTACTGGGGAATAAAGACAAGACACATGTTTAGTACAGAGGCAATTAAATTTGTTTCGATATGTGGTTTGTTGACTCTGTAGATGTGGAACCTGCTGATACAGAGGGCTGTCTGCAACTCAAACTCATTCGATAGGTAACTTCTAGTAAATAGTTTATGTAAAAAGAAATGTTATGGATGAAGACTCATTTGCCAGAAAGAATCATGAAAAGGAATTGCACTTGGGGGATTCTGAGATTCACTGGGAAGAAAGGGTCTAACTGAGGTGCACAAGCTGTGTGAGGCTGTGGCGCTGGAAGTGCTTGGAGGAGCTGGGTGGGCCTCCTGGTTGAGGCTGTGGTCCATAATCCACAGGGTTTCACTACTCTCTATAAAAGAACTCATTATTCTTATCCTGTGACAATTGCCTGGGAATCAGTGCCTGGCTGCTCTATGATGTTGCTACTGCCTCATTCTTAGGAAGAGAGCAATGAAATTACTAGTTTCACCATTCTGGGCCAGAATTTCCTCATGTGTAGCCATTTCATAAATAGAGTACTCTATGCTCATTTACAAAATAATGCTAAGAAACAAGAGTTAACTTTATGGCAGCTACATATGATGTATACATAAGTAAAATTTGTTTTATGTCAATTTCTAGGTATAATATTTAAAAATATTAAGCATGATAGTTCATTCCAAAAGGGCATGGGCTCATAAAAGAAATAGCTCAAAACTGGGAGGTCTCAGTTCTTTAGGGATGGTAGGTATGGACCCCAGTGAATGTTTAGGAATGTGAACTTTTTGAAGACCCACTTCTAACTTATGCATTGAAGCTCCTGAAAGCAATACAATCCTGAACAAATTAAGCAACAACAAATGTGGACAACTATTTTATTAGCTTAACCAGGATGTGTTCCCCTTCTGTCCCTTGCTATAGACTATTTGAGATGGATGATATATTTTACAAATTTGTTTATTTATTTACTTTGCAGTACTAGAGATGGAACTCAGGGCCTTCACACTGAGCTATGTTCCCAGACATTTTTTTTTTTTTTGAAACAAGGTCTCACTAAATGGTTAAATTGGTCAGGTGGGCTCAAATATGGATCCTCCTGGCTTAGCCTCCCAGGGCACTGGGATTACAGGCATACACCAACATACCCAGCTTGAAATAGTTATTGTATTTTTGTTTTTAACATTTTTATTAATACGTATTTGCAGTGCATAATGATTAAATTCACCTTGGACAGTTGGCACATACACATAACACACCTTTGTGCTCCTGATTTCCCCTTCCCTCCTAGTGCCATCCCTTAGCCCAGTTCCCATTTGCAAAGGCTCTTTGTTTGTTTGCAGGAATACTTAGGACAAGTTTGTGAAGGGCATAAGCTCTAAAATTAGAGAATGATAATAGAATACTTTAAAAGTATATCCTAAAATATATGTATGCCATATTTTCCATTACGTGGTTAAAAGGAACAAAGCATATAGACGCATGCCAGAAACCCTAAAGTAATTTTCACTTCTCGAAAAACAGTAAAGGTTCTACACAAAGTAAATGGCATTGCTAGACATTCACAATCTCCTAACAAAAGTTCATAATTTCTTGCAAAAGAAAAGTACCAGCTGCTTCAGGATGTGGGTAAGACATGCATGTTCCTGTGGTAACAATTTCCCAAACAAGAAAAGTAGTTAGAAAGACAAATCTCTGATAAGATATAGCTTACTAGGTCTCTTGATTTATGAGAACAACAAAAGTAGAGTAGATTAAGCTATATAAGAGGCAACTTAGAAATAAATATCCTATGAACCAACAAAATCTGTCAAATAAATGGGATTTAATCTGTAAATTTAAAATGACTTTTTAAATTTATAGTAATTTACAGTAGGAAGAAATACCTTAACATAGTTTGACTTTTTCAAATCATTCTACTATGTGGCATTTAGCTTTAGGTGGACATGCTAGGTGTGCTTTACCACTGTACAAAATACAAATCTGTCTATACTCCATAAGGTTCTAGTCAATCCTAAGTAAATAACAATTTTCTTAAGTCAGTCAATTAAAATGTGGTGTATATTTAGCTTCCCATAATCTCATATTCTTTCCTTAACTTTTTAACTACAAGCTTATCTTCTTTTTAATATTCACATATTACTGCTATTTTATGCTTTTCTTTATTTGTTGTCATTAATTCATTTTATTCATTCATCCTAGCATCCAACATGTATTATTTACTAATTATCAGCAAATTATTGGGTTGAATCATCTTCCCTTTTACAAAATTCTGAACTCTAGCTTCTCAGAAAATTTACTGTGCAACAAATAATAGATTATGAGTAGATTAGGTTTCAGTTTAGGCATCTAAAAATTAATTGTTTATATTACAAGTTAACCTAAAGAAAAATGTAAGATAAAGTGTCTATTTTCATTAATAGAAATGAAAAAAATGATAGCATAGAATTACTGTCAAGGAAAATGAATTTATTATGTTGTTTGCTCTGTAATTATTCCATATCAGTATGTACCTTATATTCTTCATAATCTTTGCTATCTAGCAAGTCTCTTTTATCCAGTTCTCTAAGTTGTTCTTCAGAGGGATTAGCAGGCATATGCTTAATAGAGGTTTGTTCATATATAGGCTTTCCATGAAAAAACAATTCCTTCCAATCACGCATCATCTTAAGTGGAATCAGACTATTGCAAAAGCATAAAAAGGAGAGATAAATCAATGTTTAGTCAAATATACACTTCAAACCATAATCTCTTATGGTATTTATATAATTAACACTTTCATTAGACTTAGAAACAATTAGAGTATTTTTAAAGGTTATCACAGGTGCAAGAGCAATAAGACCAACATACATTCTATTTTTCTGTTACAAGTCACATAAAATATTTAAATCAACAGTTATCTTAAAAGATCCTTGAAAAACATTCAGTCTGTGCATTCTGCATAAAAGAATATTGATTATGGAACATTTAAATTCTGTCCTAAGGTTGCAAAGTCATTTGATGTCAGAACTGAGATTTAAAGAAACTTAACTTTTTAATTGTGCTCATTATTTTAGATATGTATCTGTTATTTCAAAGATAATAGGAAAGTCTGAAGAACCAGTGGCTTTAAGTCATGTTCATTCATTCAAATCTCCAAATTCTAGACATTTTACCAGCTATTAGGGATATAATAACAAGTGGAATCACGCCAGATCCTGGCAAAGAAGAGCCAAAAGTAATTGCATAAATGGATGAGAGGTCTGAATGAGAATTATACAGTGTGAAAATATAACAGTATTATTATTATTATGGTTGAGATCTGAAATGTTCCCTTAAAGTCTCTTGTGTTTGGAAGGTGATTGGAACATGGGAGCAGAGGTGTTCACTGGGGCTGTGACTTGGAAAAGTCTATCTTCATCCTCAGCTCCTCCCTTTTCTCTCTTGCTGGCTGAGATGGGTTGAGTACCTTTTCCTCTGCTGTGTCCCTTTGTCACTTTGTTTCTGCCTTGGAACCAGTCAACCATGGACTGAAACTATGAGGCAAACGAAACGTCTCCATTAAAGTGTGAGTTTTGGGTGTTTCGTATGTGACATGAAAATGGCAAGACAATGACTCAATTTAATTTGTTGGTTCAGGAAATTCTCTTTGAAGAAATGATAGTTAAAGTGGGGCCTAAACAACGCTTAAGAGGCAACTGGAACAGAGAGACCAGTTCCAGGAGGAATAATATATGCAAAAAAAGTTTGATAAGATTCAGGTGAATCTCTAAAAAGTTGATCTAAAATTTAAAATTAGTATTTTATTCTAATAGATGCTACACCATGGTTTTATCTTGAAGACATCATGCTAAGCAAAAAGCCCAGGCACAAAAGGGCAAATATTGCATGAGGTGCTTAGGACTGACAAATTCATAGATATAAAATAGAATCGGGACTCTCGGGACCTGGGAAAAGAGGAGAGAAAGAGCTATTGTTAAATAGATTACAGACTCCTCAATCTTCCTGCTTAAGGGGCTGTGTGGTGAGAAGTTTTGAAGAACTTTTCTCATATTCAGCTTCTCATTTTTGTCTCCCTCACTTGTTTAGGCCTTAAAATTGCCTATGTTTCTCCTTACAGCCCTTTAACATTTTCTTTTACTAACAATTCGACTATGACATTTGTAAAGGTTCTCAGGCTTTTGTGACTTCAATTCATATATTTTGAAAAAAACCCTGACCTTTACACTAAGATCCTCACATTTAAGAATGTGAGGATACAAAATTAAAATGGCAAAAGCAAGAATGCTTTTTAAATAGCTTCTTTAGTCTTAAGAATATTGGCCTCCTTATTCTTGCCCATGATTTTTCTTTTCGTCAAGATTCTTACTTCACTGTTCACTGGGAATGGAGGGAAGAAATGGAAAGGGGAAGTAAAATTAATTAAGATGTGTTGTGTACATGTACCAATTCCTACAATGAATATAATCATTATGTACTGCACATGTGCTAATAAAAATAAAACAAAATTTTTTAAAAAAGAAAACCACCTGTTCAGGTTTCTGTGCTGTTTTCATTTTGTATTAACTAAAGTTCCTAAGATGGGTATGAACACTTGAGCTAGCTGTTCCATTTTCTCAAATGATCCACATGCCATCATCCCACTTTATATATCAGCCTGGTCTAGCGAAGCAACTATTAATTCAAAGTAAAGCAAATGAATACAAAATGCTATCATGTCAAACAAGTGGTTCTTTAGAATGATACAATGATTAAAATGTTTCCCTTTCAGAATAAGCATTTTTTACTTAAAATAATTTGGTCTTAAAATCCTAGCTATGCCATTTGCTTTTTCCCAGTAGTCTTTGAATCATGTACACTACTTATATTCATATATCCTTTGTAATTCACTAGGTGTTCTCTAATTGTTAGTACTTTTAAAAACTATAGCACATATCCAAAGATTATTTAGAAGTGTGCTCTTGTGTTTACTAGTGTTAGAAATTTTTCCTCCTATTTTATATTGCTGATTTCTGTTTTCATTTCACTCTGGTCAGAGTACACACTGTTTGATTTGAATTCTTGTAAATTTGTTGACGTTTGTTCAGGGCCTAGGATTTGTGTGATTTATCTTAGCAGAGCTTCTGTGAGCATTTTAAAAGCATGTGTACTTTCAGATGTTGTTGGTTAAAGTGTACTATTTTTTATGTTGATTGGACCTTATTGGTTGGTGGTAATGATTTCTTCTACATTCGCAGTTTACTGTTAAGTTTTCTATCAATTGTTGAAGTCTTCATCTGTGATTGTAGATCTTTCCATTGATCTTCCAGTTCTTTCAGTTTTGTTTTATATATTTTGCAGTTATGTTATTGTGTGAATACACACTTAGGAATGCTATCTCCTTTGTGTGTTTTGACTTATATAAGTTGCTCTCTGTTTATGGTGATTTTCTTTGCTCTGAAGTCTGCTTTATTTTATATTGAAATAATCACTGTTGCTTTCTTTTCATTTTTGTTTACATGATATGTATTTTTCACTTTTTTCTCTTAACCTGTCTATATAATTACATTTGAGGTGAGTTTCTTATAGACAGCATACAGGTTGGTCATGTTTTTTCATACATTCTCCCAAACTCTTCCTCTTAATTGGTATATTTAGAAACATAACTATTATGTTAAGATTTAAATCTATCATTTTATTTTCTTACTTTCTGGGTTTTGTTGGTTGTTGATATGTTTTACTTTCCTGCCTTTCTGTAGGTTCAAAGACTTACTTTCTTTAGAATTCCATTTTAGCCCATGTACAGTGTTGTTCGGTGTATCTCTTTGCATCAGTTATTTAGCAGTTATGCTAGGCATTATATAGATTTTAGTTTATCACATTTATTAGGATCATCTTTTATTAGTTCAAGTATAGAAATCTTAACTCCAATTAGGTCTCTTTACCTTTATCCACTTATAAAATCATTCTTAAATATTGGCTTTCTATATATTTAGAACATCAGACTTACATCTTTTGGCTCAATTTCTAAACTCCTCAAAAGGTAAAGGAAATGCTATTATATTTATTCATATTTTTGCTGTGTTCTTTCCTCTTTTCTGATATTTCAAGATCCTTCTTTAAAAAACTTCTGTCTGTTTATACAACTTCTGTAGCCATTTACGTAAGGGTAGGTTTGCAAATAACAAATTTTCTAAGTTATCATCATCTAACAATAACAGATTTCACCTTCATTGACCTTCATGGGGGATGGGAGTTCTTTTCATTCAGCACTTGAAAAATATGATGCCACTTCTCTTCATGATTCCTGATAAGAAATTTTCTGTGGTTTGGAGTACTTAGTCCCTACAAGAAAGCTGTTGTGTTTCTCTCAGTACTTTCAGGATGTTTTCTTTTTCATTTTTCAGGTATTTAATTATGATGTGTCTTTGCATGTATTTACTTGTTTATCCTGTTTGAAGTTTGCTCAGATTTTTGAATTTGTAATTTATGCATTTATGTGACTTGCCACACCTTTGGGAAATTTTAAGGCATTGTTTCTTTGAGCAGTCTTTTAGCCCCAACTTCCTTTTCTTCTACTTCCAAGACTGCAGTGACATCCGCTATAGTTTAGAGCTTTAACATCCCCACAAGGACTAAGAGCTAAAGGCTTGGTCACCAGCCTGTGGCACTATTGGTGTGGGGGCTTTAAAGATGGGCCTAGTGAATGGAAGTTAGGCCCCCTAGGGGCATGTGCATATGTCCTCTCTTTCACTTTCTGGTCACTATGAAGTGAATGAGCCTCCTCTGCCACATGCTTCCATCATGATGTACCATCATGCTCTGATCCCAAAGCAACAGGGCCAAGTGACCATGACTTGAAACTTTTGAAGCCACGAGCTAAAATAAACCTTTCCTCTTTATGAGTTGATTTGTCTCAGGCATTTGTTATAGTGATGGAAAGCTGACTACTATAACATCCATGGCCAGTGTCTGGGGCTCTCTTAATCTTTTTATCTACTTTTTCTCTGTTCAGATTATACAACTTTTATTACTCTATTTTCTAATCTGGTCATTCTTTCCTCTGTTCCCCTCATTCTGCTATTGAGCCTAACCAATGAGCTCTTTAGGTTATTGTCTCAAATAAAGCCTTTTGATTCTTATTTATGTTTATCTTTTATTTCTCTGCTATGACTAATTTTATGACAAATTTTTTTTTGTCATGTTTCAAAGATATTCATAATTGTCCACCAAATAATTTTGCCATGGCTATTTTAAAATCTGTATCAGATAATTCTAAGATCTCTCTTATATCTCACTGTTGTCAGGTGTTAGTTTCTTAGGGGTGATATAAGAATGTACCACAAACTGGGTGGCATAAAATAACCAAAATTGATGAAAAATAGAAGTTTAAAATGAAAGTATTGGTAAGGCTATGTGCCCTTTGAAAACTAGAGAAATCCTTCCTTGCCCTTTCTAGCTTTTGGTGGTTTATCAGCGATCTTTGGCATTCCTTGGTTTACCACTGCATAAATCTTTCCCTTGGTTGTAACATGGTGCCATTCCCATGTCTTTTCTCTTGAAGGACACTAGTCACATTAAATTAGCCAGTGTGACCTCATCTTTACTAAGCATATCTGCAATGATCCTGTTCCCAAACAATGTCATATTCCAAACAATATCATGCAGCGGCATACACTTATAATCCCAGCACTCCGGAGGCTGGAGGTAAGAGACCAGGCTGAATTTTGAACTACATGGCTAGACCCTGTTTCAAAAAACAAACAAACAATAGCAAAAACAAAACAAAATAAATTCAACCAATAATAGCATTCATATATTGTCTTTTTATATTCAGTTTGAGCTCTTTCTGGTTCTTGGCATACTGGGTAATTTTTAGAATAGATTTTAGGACACTGGATCTTATATAAACCTTCATTTTCAGCTGTTTGCTTTCTTTTTTCTTTATTAGTACATGTTTGAAGTACATAATGAATATATTCATCTTAATTCTTTTTTATATCCCCTTCCTCTGCCACAACATCTCTTGGTCCCCTTCCCATTTGTCAAAGAACCATCTCTTTATTTTCTATTGTCTATTTTTTATCTTGCTTTTTTATTTGTTTATACTTTGGGTTTCTCATATAAAAGAGACCATATGATATTTAAGCTTGTGTATCTGATTTATACCATTTAACCTTATGGATTCCAAGTGCATCCATTTTCCTACAAAGGACGCAAATTTATCCTTCTTTTATAGAAAAGTACTACTCCATTGGATATTAATACTGCATTTTCTTTATCTACTAATCTGTTGATAGACATATAGGCCACTTGCAAGATTTAGCAATTATGAATTGTGCTGCTATAAACAAGCGTATGTATATATCATTTTAATATGATGTCTTTAACTCTTTCAAAAAGACACCTACAAGGGGAACACCTGGGTCAAATGGAACCTGTACTTTAAATTTTTTGAGGAGTCTCTATAATGTTTAGTATGGTACTGGCACAGAAACAAAGATGCATACCAGTGAAATAGGAAAGAGGGTGCAGAAACAACACCAGACACATTCAGCCACCTGATCTTTGACAAAGGTGCCAAAAAAATATGCTAGAGGAAAGACGGTCTCTTTAGCAAATAGTGCACGGAAAACTGGCTATACACATGCAGAGCACTGAAGCTAAATCCCCATCTCTCACCAGATACTGAACTAAAATCACAATGGTTCAAATATCTAAGTATTAAAACAGAAACACTTAACCTGGTGGATGATAAGGTAGGTCAAACTCTCGAGGTCATAGGCATAGGCAAGGGGTTTCTGAACAGAACCCCATTTACGTAAAAAATAACATTAAGAATTGACAAATGGAAAAAAAAAAGAATTGATAAATGGGATTACACCAAGTTAAGATGCTTCTGCACATCAAACAACTGACAGAATGAAGAGACAACCTACAGAGTGGGAAAAATTTTTTGGCAGCTATACTCTGATCAGAAGATCAATATCTAGAGTACATAAACATCTCAAAAGAATTAGATCCCCAGAATAGAAGACCCAATCAAAAAATGGGCAATTGAAATGAATAGGCACTTCTCAGAAAAAGAAGTACAAGTGGCCAGTAATACATGAAAAAATGTTCAACATCACTGGCCAATCGAGAAATGCAAATTAAAACAAGTCTGAGATTCTATCTAATTCCAGAACAGTGGATATAGTCAAAATATAAATAATAATAAATGCTGGCAAGGCTATGAAGGAGTTGGGCAGGGACCCTTGTACACTGTCAGTGGGAATATAAACTAGTTCAGCTGTTTGCTTCCTGACATTGCTGTGTCAAGCAAAGAGGAGGCACTCTCTGGTCATCGAGAAGCACAGATAAAAGTCCCTGAATGTCTTCCTTGACAGCCAAGGGGAGGCAATGCTTGTAACTGCTGGTGAAGTGGGAATTTGGGCTTCACATGGCCTTCAATGATACTGCAATGACCTTGTTATCACTGGAAGATGGTGAAAATCCTCTCTCTCCACCAGGCTTCCTCTGATACAACCTCTGTAGCCCAGGGAGGAATGCTCTGTTACTCTCCTGTGGAGATGGGAATCTACGCTTCTCACTTAACCTTTCCTGACTCCATCCTGGCAGGTGTCTGGAGATCCCTTTTTACATCTTTGTAAGGGTTAGAGCTGAGGTTTTCTTCCTGGCCTTTTCTAGCAACTATTCTTCTCTGTGGAATTTGGATAGAGTAGAGTTGTTTGTCTAAAAGTTTTCCATCTTTCCAGGTCGTTCCTTTACTGGGTAACACTGATGTGTCTATGTTTCCAGAAAATTCATCCCTAAACTGGAATATATGAGGTGAAAAGAAAACATGGGAAGTTCACTACTATGTCATGCCTCAGAATAAGAGGTCTTTGACACCTCTCCACTTTTCAGTCCTCTTATGTGAGTTTCACATATATATAATGTTTAGGAGTAAAGCTGAACTTAATAAGAGGAGAAGAGAGAAAAGTACATCTATTCCATTGTGCCTGAGAAGAATGGGATTTTATGACTTAATTTTAAATTATGGACCTTTATTTACTTAGGTAAATCAATCTGTTTTATCTTGTACTTTTTCTCTTTTGAATTCTTATTTTATATGTTTCATCTAACTCTACTTTTTGATGGTCGTAATTTAATCTATTTTAGCCATTATAATGATTTGTCTTGCTTTTCTTTTTTAATCCTTTTATAGTTTAGCTTCCTCATAACTTTGTTCATATTAATTCCTTAACTTTTGCATTTATTTTAATCTGGGAAGTATTTTTAAGCTTCTTTACATTCTCTTATTTTTGTTTTATTTTTTAATTTGTTTTTTCTCAATCTTGCATCTTATTAGTTTTTATTTTTAAAATGTCCCCCATTATATTATTTTATTTAGTAGAATTTTATATCAGGGGCCATAAGGGTGAGGCAAAGAAAGCCCCTTTTCATGTGTTGGGTGATGAGATGCTTTAATTCTGTCTGATCCTGTGGGCTGCATGGCTCTTATTGCTTCAGCCAGGGTCCTTGAAAGCCACACCAATGTGATGGGGTTGCATTATCCTCGACCTTCATGAATTAGCTTCACTGAGATCTGCTGTGGTGTCTGTCTAAAAACACCACATGGAACAGGTCTATGAGTCTAGATGCTACATTTATTTGAAAAACATTTTTTTTTTTTGCTGAAGATGTTTTGTACTAGCTCGACTACACTATGTCCTATACATTTAGTGAGATCACACAAGAAAACTACTTTTCTAAACTGAGTGCCAAGAATTTTGTATTTTATACAGAACTAGAACAGAAGTGGAAATCATGTTTCAGACTTTTCTTTGGTTACTAGGAAGTTCAAATGTAGTAAATGGCAAATTACTGCTGCCAAATAATTGTGGCTCAATTTAATTTTTATTTCTATTTTAATTTAGATTTTCCTTTATTATTTGATCTTATTCTTCACTTTTAGATTTTTAATACTTCCTTAAAAATACATTGTTTCCTTCTGAAAACAAGATGGAATGAAAATAAGTAATAATAAGTAATAATAAGTAATAATAAGAAAGTAATAATAATAAATAATAATAATAAATAATAAGAAAGTAAAAATAAGTAATAATAAGAAATAATCTTTAAAAATTCTGTTCTTTTAGCAAATGTTTCAAGTAAATTAACATAGTTGTCTTGTAAAGTGCAGATAATTTAGACACAATTTAGAAAGGACATATATACACCTCAAATAAAACTAGTCAGTGAGTGAAACAAATCAGTAATCAAGACCTCTGTGACTCCATGTCTTAGTTTCCTAGGACATTTTTGCCTTTCTTTAGTTATCAATCTAGTATCTACTTCATAATCTCATCCCTTTCATTATCTGTGGTATTTCTACTGCATTAATTATAAAAAACAATACTTACTTATTTGTCAACATTCGATAGTCTGCCACTTTAGTGGACAAGTCAAGTATTTGATCCAAAATTTCTCCACATATTTTATAATGCTTTGTATAACGAGCCTGAACTCTTTCCACAGCAATCTTTTCATGAACTTCTTTCTCTCTGAGGATTTGCTCTTCAAAATCAATCTTGGCTTGTTTTGCCAAAGCCTAAGAAGGAAAAAATATATTTTTAAGTAACTATCATGGTGCAATGATTCAACTGAAAATAATGTCATAATTTCAATGGAAAAACATCACTTTTAAATAGATTGAAGACTTCTTTTACATCAGGAAAAAGTTAACCACAAGTGAGCACTTTCATTAAGTACTAACTACGATATGAAGGGAAAGACAATATTTGAAATATTTCACCTTAATTTATCAAGAAAACAGTATAACAAACAGTGATCTGGCCAAAGAAAGACCAATAGGGTTAACAATAAATTAATTCATAAAGCTTTTCATAAAGAAGTCCTGAATGCACAGGTTGCAAGCAGTCAGGAATTTCAGAGAAATGGACAAGTCTGTGTCAGACCTCAACTATAGCTGTCCCCATCATCTCTGGAGCCTCAACCTGGACTCATCTGCTGTGGCCACCATCTTTCCTTTCTTAGTGGGAGTTGTATGATTTGATTTATACTTAGAAAATATTTTTAAAACTCTCTGCTGTTATAGCCTTAATAAGCTAATACAGCCTTAATAAACTTATTTGTGGAAGAACCTATTCTGATGAAAGTGATGAAATACTCAAAGAGTTTGTCACCACCCTGTCCTTGGTTTGTGCTATTACTTTATGGGAACCCTTTTCTCACAGAGTGCAAAGGTTAAACTCAGCCTGGCCAAGCTGTAAGGAAATACTCAAATGATGGGATTCAAATGACCAAATGCTGCTTTTGAAACAGCTATTTCAGCTTCTTGGGAAATCTGTGTTAACCTGCTTCAGGAACAAAACTTGCCTCCTTGTAACTTAACCTAGACAGTGGAAAATGGAAAGGAACTTGGGCTATGGGGGAGCTGCAGTCAAAATCAGACCCTAGTTTGTGTACAAAATTTAAATTCAAATGGTGAGAAGCTGGACCAAGTCTGTAAGCCTCCTTAAGCCTCCATTTCCATATAGCAGAGTGTTAATTCTTGGCATACCCAGAAAAAATAACCATACTATCTCATCAGGGCAATTATTTTTTAATCATAATACTACTCATAAATGACTAGATGTGTGACAATGGATAGCTATGTAAGGTTCATCACTTGCTTTCTTTTTGCTGTTTTATTTTGTATGTTTATTTCATTCTTATTGGGAAACAAATTGGATTGCATGATCTCTGAGAATAATTCAGTACATTTGTCAGACTCAGGAATTACACCAGAATTTGTTGTCCTTGCATTGTTTTGTAAGCCCTGTTTTCAGGGAGAAGAAATTTAATTTAAGTACAAAGCTTATGACATGATGTATAAAGTGTTCGTAGAAAAAAGGAATCCAAGAGACTGGGAAAATTAAATGAGGATTTACAGAGTGACACAAAAAAATGGGTCATAAGGTTAGTTTACCACAGTATCTATGAAGCATTTAAAATATTTAGGATGTGATGAAATCAAAACCTTGAAGAATAGAATTTTCCTGTCAACAAGAGAACAGTTTCCTATCTTGTTTTCCATTATCACCTGTCTTCTTCTCTCTTTCTCTTTCTACTTCCAGGGTTTTCTCCCTTTCTTTCCTCTTCTATTACTTTCTTTCTTATTTTCTCCCTTTCTGGTTTCCTCCCTCCCTCCATTCTTCTTTTCCAGCCAGCTAACTAACTAGTCTTTCTTATTCTTTTCTACCTCTATCATCTACTCTGTGCTAAACCCACCAGTTTCCTGTCTCATTATAGCAAAGTAGGTTGCAACCCTAAAAAGAGAAAGAAGGAAAGGAAAAAGGAAGTCTGTGGGAGGCAGTAAATCTTAGTTGTTATAAACTTGGACTCTAAAGTCTGATAGGGGAGGCTTTGCTCCTGATACACCACTGATGAGATACGTGATTTTGAGCCTTCTAAGCTTCGCTTTCCTAATGCATAAGATGTAGATAAGGATACAGTCCACTTGTAGCTGTTGCAAGAATCATGTTTGTATATAATGAGCATGGTGCAGTTCCTGACTCAAAGTAAAAGCTGAAAAATGTAAAATATTATTGTAATAATTCTTCTTAGTAGCAGGTGGCACCAAAATTTGAAATCAGGAACTGTTTTAATATAGAATATCCAGTTGCCTAAAGGGCAGAGATTAGCAGATTAAGTTCAAAAACAAAATAAAAATGAATTTACAAAGCTTCCAAGATCAAATCACAAGTTACTGTCACCTCTCTCCCCCACTCATTTTTTTCTGTCTTTCTCTTTTTCTTTCTTCCTCTCATTAAAATGATGTGATGGGCAGTGGGCTCAGCCTTTGGGAAATAGTAGTGAGCAAAGCAAAGAAGGTCCTACCTCATAGACTTTTATGTCACTGGGATATGAAAACAGTCAAAAAGACCAGTGAATAAATGTATAACTAGTTATACACTATGACAAGTGTCACTACAGCAAGACTGTGGACATGGAGTACATAACAAGAGGCCTGACCTAGACAAGAAGTGATGTGTGCACAGAGACCTGAATGATGTATGAAGTCGATGAAGTTACATGGCAAGAGCAAGACAGGTGGAAGAAATGACCTTTTGAGGGATTTGAGAGTAGACAGGTGGGGCCAGAGCAGAGGGGACAAAGGAGAGCAAGGCTGCTTGTTAGGGAGCAAGGAATGGAATATGGAATTCCCATATGAAGGCAGTGAGCAAATCTGAGAGTCAAAACAGACTCCTCTGGCTGCACAATGGAAACTGGACTGGAGGAGATGAGAGAGAAGGGCAGGCAATGTTTATGTTAACTCTATTTTCATTTCTTCATTTTAAGCAGGTCTTTTTAAACTTCTACTTTAGGGAATTTCTGCAGGACAAAAACGAGAAACTTAAAACTCCTCCTGACTAGTAAAAGACCAAATTCAAATGCAAAATAATCTAGGATTCTCAAAAAGAGGGGATAGGAGTGCAGGTTTTTAGGTAAAACATGAAGAGGAAGAGACATGCACCCTATTCCCAGTCAGCTCCTGGGGAGAAAAAAAGCCCCAGTGGGAATCGTACGGACTGATAAAAGCTGGAACAGCCTCCCCAAGTTTCCTGTGCCAGCAAGGGGCACATGTGGATTGCAGTAGCTTGCATCTCAAAGACAGCAGACTAGGCTTGTGCCAGATAAATGCAGCATTTGGCTCTTCATTGTGTGGGCACTGTGCACCTCTATGGGCAGACGTAGGCTGTTGGAGTTCAACTGAGGCTGTTATAAAGAACATAAATAATGTCATGTTCTTATATACCTGTTTGTTCTTGCCACTGCATACTCACCATAAATAGATGAAAGAGAACATTGTAGTAATAGGAAGAGTAGAATCCAGGGGTTTTGATATAGACACGAGGGAAAACGGACAAGTTAAACAACAATTTAGTACATGAAATGAAAATGACTTAGTGATGTTTTGGATCGGGAGAAGTGTGGGCAAAGCTTGTTTCAAGCAGACAGTGAGGTTTGGACTCGGCTAACTGGATAAACAGTCCAGGTATGTGTTGGGATATAGAACCTTGAAAGAGACCTGTTCAGTGGGAAAGGTCATAAAATTGTTCTCATACATGATGAATTGGATGTCTCTGATGTATATGGCTAGAGATGTCAAGAAAGCAGTTAAATCTATGTATCCACACCTCAGGCAGCAGAGACTTAAATGCTTTTCATTCTATTGCAATAATTGTATGCCCATTGTTGTGGATGAGATTGTCTGGGAAAACAAGCTAGAGGAGGACTGTGATAGGCTAAACAAATCCTGAACATCTCCAGTGGAAAATAGACAAAAACTGACTCATATAATCTACAAATAAATATTTTGGGATAAAGCACACACCTAGAAGCCAGATCTTGACTTCTATGAGTGATTCTAAACTATAATGCACCAGAATACTCTAGGTAAATAAATGATTCATTCTAGGCCCAAGGAAGGAGTAGTAAACTATGGACCTGAGAAATCATGTGTTATCAGAAGGCAAAGAATTGTGCTTTGAAAATTAATGGTGTCTTGTTGAAAAGAAGCAATTTTAAAACTTTCAGAACCTGAGAATATTCATGTAGAATAATCAACACTAATGCCTACATTAGCAATGGTATGTCATTTGGAAAAAAAGTAAGGAAATGGAAATTTGATTATCTTCAGGCTTTTTGACACTAACACTTTATTCCTGAAGAAAGTGGAGTGGTGTATTTAAGGTATTCGGGGAAAGGAAAGCTGCACCTAGCATTTTATAGATAGCAAAACTGATAATAAACTATAGAAGATATTATCCAAATACAAGAACTCAGGGAATATTGTCCTATGAGCCCTTTCTGAGGAATCAATTGGAAAAGGAGTTCAGATAGTCACAATGACCAAAGACATGGATGGAAGGATTGGTGGTGAGCATCAAATACTTGGTTACTTGCAGACTCAAAACTAGGGGAAGACAGTACAGTATGCAGCAGCTATCTGCCCTGTCAATGGAGGTTACAGAGAAAAAAGATGAGTGCATAACAGGCAGATCATATAAAAACGAGCACTTTTTAAAGAATTGACAACAAAACAGTTTTTGGGTTTTTTTTTTTTAAAAAACTATGAGTTGGTAGAAAAAAATCACAAGTAAACTTAGATTAAGGGCAATATTGTTTACCGCTTCTCGATCAAGAGCATCCTGGAAATCTTTAAGTCGTCTTTCCTCATATTGTTTTTCTCTGAAAATCCTATTTTGCCGTAAAACCTCCTTCTCATGGCGAACGTGCATGAGCTGCACAGCAATTCTGCGCTCTTGTTGGGACTGTCGCATGAGCCTGTGGATCAGCTGCTCCTCACGGTAAGCCTCCTGCAGACACCAGTGGAACAGCAGGTTAGTCTTCAAACCCATGCTCAGTTTCCCACTGGGCTATGAATCCTCTACAAGGTATATAAAAGGCCTAGCATCCCTCTAAATCAGTTTCTGCCATTTCATTTAAATTGAACCAATGAAAAATACCAAATTTTTTTAAACAAGAAAATTCCCATCAGAAGTTAAATAATTTTGGTATCTAGAAACATTAGGTCTTGAAACTCACAATTAATTTAAATGAATATTGTACTTATTTTAAACTGTGATTTAAAAATCAAGTTAGGGTTTTTCCCCCAACATTTTATAAACCAGAAATATAATTCTCAATTTATAAGAATGTTTTTATAAGTTTGGAAATGTGTTATAAGCTCCCTAACCAGTCATAAAAGAAATGTAGACATTGTTCAGGTAAAGTCAGCAGATCTAGTTAGTTGGTGGGGACAGGTAAAAATTAGAAGATGTTAAAACGGAAGATGAAGCTAAGTGAAAATGACCTAGTGCTTATCTTAAAAAATATGAGGTCATAATCTGAAACGGAAACTGGTGGCTGCTTTAGGAAAATAGTAAGGGAACCAGTAAATATATATTGGGAGAAACATTAAGTGGGAATCTGAACACTTGGCTTTTGTCCCCCCAAAATGTACCACTCATTGGCTGTGTGGGTTTGGGCAAATAGCTCTGTTTTGCAAGTCTATTTCACAGCAGGAAACAATGAGAGGTATAAATGGAAGATGACCGCTGAGTTCTCACTATCTCTCTCACTGTCTAAACAGAGACATCATGTGGAAAGAAGAGGTAAAGTACTCAGTAGGGATTTAGAAAGATACCTAAACACTGGTTTTCCATTTAAAACTCAACAATCCAATGATTTAGATAGAAAAGCTGGCTTCAGTAATGATACTGCTTCAAATGATCTCTACCACTATAAGATTACAGGAGAAATATTGTATATTTAGCCAAACCAAGATGCAAATAAAAGCAATACTCCATGGTAAATGTTGAAGCCTTAACTTGGGAATTATTAAAAATGTAAAGTTCAAATGAAATGAATATGAAATTTTTCTGTTAGTAAGATATATGGAATTTAAAAGTCATGAGCAACTTTTAAACAAATGTCTCATCTATTTATAAAATTCTAAAAAGCTTCATGTTAATAATTGATTTCCTTTTAATATCCAATACTGGAGGTAAAGCAGAATATAAAAATGGTCACAGGTTCTTCCCTTCTTTTCATTCACAGTCTTGCAATCTTAGCCTAAAGATATCTCCATCAAAAAGGAGAATCTATTTCTACACTCCTTAAAAATAAGTTGTGGAGTAACCATTAACTTGAACCAAACAATTAGATATCAGCTAAAGAAAGAACGTGTACAAAGCAAACATGAAAAAAAAATCACTTGGGGTCTGATTTTCTTAATTCTCTCTGCCATTTCCAACATGTGCACAACCTGGTCTACTAGAAAGCGAGACAGGGGTACTGGCCTTCTCCTGCAGGGTCTGATGGAGCTATCAGGAATCAGCCAGTTTCCCACCCACCAACTGCCCCGCTGAGACAGCACAGCACAACTAAACCACAGTCCACACTGGCTACTGCATTTGTGGAGTGATTTTTGGATACAAGAGGCACAGACTCAATCACATATTTTAAAAATACAAACTTGCTTTATTATTCCACGTGAACTCTAGAAGACTATGCTGTGCTTATATGAAAAGGTGACTTAGTTGGCAAGATAAGATCTGCTCATTCAACCCTTGTAAAGAGCATGCTAGATAGGTCAGCTATGTTTTCATTCTTGTTGGATGACAACACATTAGGGATAAAATGGGATAGAGATAAATTATTGTAGAATGGTTGTGTCAGTGCTACATTTCATCATATTTTTATTTTTAAAAATATTTTTATTAGTACATCTCTGCATATGTAGTGTTTACATTCATCTTAGGGACTAGGCATGCAACATATCTTTATTTTTTTTATTCCTCTTCCCTATCCCTCCTCCCCACACTTCAGTCTCTGGATCCCCTTCCCATTGCAAAAGATCTATCTCCTTTTTTTCTATTTACCATCTTTTTAAAAAACTTATTTGTACTGTGGGATTTTCATATAAGAGAAGCGATGTAATATTTAAGTCTGGTTATATTTTGATGATCCCTTACATTTTCTCATAGGAACAAGATTTAAGCTATAGTAAACCTAGAACAGAGATGTATTTGCAATAAATAAAAATAATAATAAAAGACTTGCTTCTATTTGAATTCTTGTTACCATATTTGAGGATGATTTCAACAAATATACAATCCAGAATAGTCTCAATTTGATTGTGAGGCCTTCTGCTTCTTCCAGGATGGGCGCTAGAAGCTTATTCTGGTCTATAACCATTGCCTTATTTTCCAAAGAGGTGTAAGCCGCTTTCATAAAGAAATGGACCACTGCAGGAAAAACCTAATAGCTAGGATCTTTTATCTATAAAGTGATGCAGAGGTCACTAGTTCCAATATCCTAGAAAAGGTCCTTGTAAAGCAGAGATAGTTGATTTGGGGTAAACCCCAAGAAATAGTCAAGATGCTAGCTTAATAACTACAGAATGAAGTTATAGTTTGATCTGTGAAGTACTTTAAACTCAAGAAATCCAAAATTAAACTTACTCCCCTTCAGACTCCTTCTTCTTTCGATATTTGTCCAGCTCAGTTGGTAGCACTTTAATAACCTACTCGGGGACCTAATAATAGGGCCATTTTAAATTCATTCCTACCTTACCATTCCTAATCTTCAGTTCTCCAAGAGGTGGTCTATCATATCTCCTGGTATACATATTATATGTCCTCCCCCATCCTTCTCTATATTCTCTGATACCATGGCTACTTTGGGGAACATCAGCCCTTCACTGCCATGCCTTCCTCTTCACTTTAACTCTCAACAATTATGCTCCAAAAAATCAAAGTGATCTTCCTATCTTTGAAGCTCATCATTTAATTCACATAATATCATTTATTGACTGAACACTGGGCAAGACATCGAGTAGAGCACACATCTCTAGTTCTTTCACCAGCTCAACCCAAATGAGGGTATATAAATTTCAGGGGGAAAGTGCAACAACTTGGAAGCTATGGAAACATTCCTGATAGATTCAGTGCCAAAAGACAAGAATTTGGGGCTGGCATGAGAATCATTGAGAAAACAAATCACGCTTTGCATGAGAATATTCTGTGCAGTAGTGTCGCTGGTGTCAGCTACACACTGTACTCAGTGGAAAGGAAGCTGTGGGAGTAGACTCCTTGCTAGGTGTCCCAGACTAGCCTTAGAAATAGTAGTTCCTCAAACATTGAGAAGCAGCAGCAAATGATGAGGTTCCCATGTTGGTAATATTCAGAGCCTTGAGTCTTCCTTACGTCTGTCAGGATGGTTGCTGGATCTCCAGCTTTAGTCTTGACAACTCAGTGCTAATAGTATCCTCATGGGAAGTATAGGAATCCAGAAACAATTTATTTACCCCATTTTCCAGGTAAACACAAGCCCTAAAGGATAAGCAGAAGGTGGAGCAGAAACAAAACCTTGTAGTTGACACACAGGTATTTGAAACTTAAATGCAAGTGCGTCTAAAATTTCATTATGAAGTAATAAAATTTAAAATATGTAGTTATTATAAAGTCTACCTTCAAATTATCTGGTTTTCATAATTTATAGTTCTTCTAATTAAAAGGGAGATGATGAAGCTGATTGAGTAAAATATAAATGAATCTGAAAAAATAACCTTCTGGTACAAAGAGATATTCCAGAGTTGTTCTTTGAATTTTCCACTAAGAAGGGAGTGGAATCCTTAGTAAATAATTTCACTTCCTCATACAAGAACAGAACCTCTGAGCAGATCAGATGTGGTTGGTTAATGGAAAGAGCATCTTCAAATGGTTTTGTTATTTTAAACATACAGATTTGTCCTATTTGCTTTCACAGTCAAACTCACCTTCCTCCCCAGCCTGCAACTTTTATCATCTTCCTTAACCTATAAATGCCACCTCTGTCACCCAGGTATAGAGAAATCTACAAATCTGGCTTTTAGTACAAGCATTTACTCTCCCAGGTCTAATGAGTTATTAAGTCCTATTGATTTTGCTTCTAAAATACTTCTTGAAGCCACTTTTCTCAATCCCTATTGCCACAAACATAAATTTAGACTGAGATAATCTTACTTGGATTCCAGGAACAGCCAAAATTTGTTTTAGCCTCCTGTAATCTAGTCTCCAAACCAAAGCCAGATGATTTTTTAAAAGACAAATACGACCTTGTTCCCTTTTGCACTCAAATAGGAAACTGGAAAATCGATTTCTCTCTATCTAGCCCATCATGATTTGGCCTCTGGTGACTTCTGCTAGATGACATGACTTTTGTTAACTAAAAGTTCTAAGCTTTTCCGTGTGATTTTCTCTGGCTTGGAAACACATTTTGCCTCCTCCCATTACAGCAGCCCTCAACTCTACTCTACCACCTCCACCTTCAGTTAGCATGACCCTCTTCATTCTTCTATCACCAGACACCACCCTCTGCCCCAAGCTGGGTAGCCTCCCTCCTCTGCTTCACCTACCAGCACACCCCCATCACCTTCATAGAGCTCTCACCCTTGCTTATGTACAGAGCCTCTCTAAAGGGTGAGCTCTATGTGAGACGGTTTCTTGTTATTCCTGTGCACCCTTGTATTCCTGAGGCTCCCACAAGTACCCAGAGCACAGAGGAGGGTCAATAAACACACTCAAAGTAAGGGTTGCTCAGTGATTATCCAGTGTAGCTAAACGAGAAGCACCTCTCTGGAGCCCAGGTCCAGCATGTGCGATTCAGTCTGGATGGGATCAGGTAATGCTGAGGCCACTGGTATAAGGGACCACATATTATGAGCCCCTGGAGTGGAAATTGAGCAAATTGAGAGGATGAACAACTCTTTCCTGTTTTAATTAAAATTACTCCTTTGTCTCTTAAAAGTAACTACAGATATAAATGGTTCACATCAATTTTAGATTGCTTTTTTGTCAGTATTTTTTATTATGGTAAAACATACATAGCTGAATTTATTATTTCAGTGATTTTAAGTGTACACTTCAATACCATTAAATACTTTTACAATGTTATGCAATCACAAGATTTTAGATTCTTTGGTAAATGTGCAGAGACTTTTTTTTCCCTAAGTATATTTGCTGGAGTTTTTTTGGGGGGGTGTTTTTTTGTTTGTTTGTTTTGTTTTGTTTTGTTTTTTGGTTTGGGAGATCGAATTAAGGACCTTGTGCTTGAGAGGCAGGTGGCGGCACCACTGAGCTGAATCCCCGGCCCATGTATTTGCTGTTTTGATGTGAGCATGTACCAGTGACATTTACTTCGAATGGCAGACATAGCCACATTTATGTGTACAGAAGAGCACAGTTTGCACAGTTGTCAGCACTGTTATTTAACTCACACCTCAATATCTTACCTCCTGTGCTTCATGGGCGATTAACTGGTCCATTAACAACCTCCGCCGTCTTTTCTCCCTTTGTTCTCGGGCAAAAGCATCTTCTTCTAGGCGCTTCTGGATTTTTTTAATGTAGTCATCATCTGAGTAAGTGTTTAACAGGTCGGTAGTTGTATGGTCTGCTGTATCTAAACCAGTCCGGAATGCACTAAGGGCAATAGTTTTTATTTTAGATTTTAAAAATATGATGATGAGTTAACACTTACGATGGTGGAAGACCTCTGGAGAGGGCTCCCTTGAATGCTCTTTTAACTGATTAATATAACCATTGAAATGAATATTAGATCTTTAGTGTGACATCCATAGCTTATCGATAGATTCCGTTTGCTTGTCCCCATTTCTGAGCTCTGTCTCTGTGAGGTCCTTACCGTAGCCTTCTTTCTAAACCCATCACTTTTTGTAGTTTCACTTCCTAAGATTCCCACCTAGAGATTCTGGATTTCTCTCCCTCTTCTTTTACTGGCTCTGTACTTCTTTCATCCTCTGTTTTGAGTTAACAGTAGGCTATTGATAGCTCACATGTCAGGGAAGGCACACCTCCATGACAGCAGACTAGATACTAGAGAACACTCCTATGGATGGTTCCATCCACTACCACTCTCTTCTTATCAATGACAATGCAAGTTATTCTCCAGACTCCCAGATGAATTTCTGACACCTTAGGACATTGGCTCAGGCCCTATTGGAAACTCAGCAGTTGGAAGTTAACTTGCTGATCATGTTACATGCATAAGCATAGATCTAACCTGGCCTCTATCCTAACTTGTAGCCAAAGCTTGAAAGATCAGAAAGAGCCCGATAGTCTTTCCAAAAGAAAATAAACATTAAATTTAGTGAGACAAATGTTAGCTAGCATGAAAATAGCAACAACAACAACAGCAAGGCAAGGCATCAAGAGCTGGTGGGGGGAGATGAAAGAGGGACTTAAGGTGGTTACATACACGTACCAACTTCCCATGTGGAAGGCACACATTACTACACACCCGCACTAATAAAACAAAAATGTTTAAAGGTGTCATTAAAAATGAAGGATACATTTTTATATATATCACAATTATATCAATTCTTTTCTGCATATGTCTCTAAAAAGTAAATAGAACACAATGGCACAATAACATAAGATGTATTCTGATGGTTACTTGCCAAGAAATAATGATTTTTTTGTATTGTGAATAATCACTGTTCTTAATGTTCTGAGTAATATATATTTGATTTAGAACATAGCAGTCTAATTCATAAAACAAGGACATGTTATTTAAATATGTAGAGATTAGTCATCAGTTCTCCTAAAGAGATAATCCTGTAAAAGCACAGCTAAATTGTTTTGTGATGCAATAATTGCATATTTATAATGTAGACCATATCATATTATGATCATAATTTGTAGGTTTATTGCTCTCTGAAGAATTTTGAGCTATAAAATATATAAATGGATCTAATGCTGGCAAAAATAATTTTTTTTTAATGGGGTTGGAGGGAAAAGAGGGGAAAAAGAATTGAGATGTGCTATGTACATGCACCAATTCCTCACAATGAATGTAATCATTACGTGCTGCAAACGCGTACTAATAAAAATAATCTAAAATGTTTTTAAAACAGTGGCTAGGAAAAGGTACAGATAAATCTATCAAAATTACAGCATCCACACATTGAGGTGATACTCTTAAGTGGAATAAATAGGACACACAGGTGTAAATACCAAATAGTTTCTCTAGTGTGAGAAACTGAAAGTGTAAATAAGTACTAAAAGGTATAATAGATAATGTGAAATAGGAAAAAAAGGGGCAAAGGGGAAGGGGAAGTGGGAGCAGTAGGGTAAAGGGAAGAAGGGAATGGAATTAATATGAGAAAATGAAAAAAAGCAAACAAAGTCTCTGTAAATAGGGAGGGATGGAGGGGTTGAAGGGAGGGCAGGGGAAGGTGGAAAATATAAGAACCAAGAGATTATATAAAGGTGCAAATTTCCAGTGATGAATGTCATTATATTGCATACCTAAAATGTACCAATAAAAGGATATATAAAGAAAAAATTACAGCATCCAACAATCTTAGCTAAATAAACAAATAAAACAAATAGTATATATAATTTGCTTGAAAATTTAAAAACAAAAGACCTGAGAAACCCTGAGGGAAAAGTAGCTGTGGGAGCTCTTCCATTGCTAGCATTGATACTATATTTCATATGGTATTTCATTCTTCCACAGAAGAAAAAATACAGACTTTGAAGTGACAGTCCTGTCCCTTAGGAATTGTTCAGAGGCAGCCTGTGAAAGAGGCAGCTACAGAAATTGCTCTTTAGGTTCAAGCTGCAAGATTTGAGTGTTCTCTGACATCAAGTTAGTCTGAAGTTTCTGAATGGGCTCAAAACATCATCCTGGATTCTAAGCTAAAACTTTACAAGGAATTTAAGAAGTAGTGATTAATAAATGGGCTTAAGAGGACCATAATGAACTATAGCCTTTATTTTCTTTAAAAATTTTCCCTAGACTCACTCACTTACATGCTCTGTGCTGATGAACAGATGGTACCCAGCTGAAAGACCATTTCAAAATTTTGAGATATTTCCTACTTGTTGGTAAATAGTATTCTCTGTACCTCCTTTCCTGGGACCCCTCAATACCCAGAAATTTACTACCATTGAAAACAGTAGTGTTTTCCAAGCCCCACACCAGCATTCATTTTGAATAATTAGTGTCTTTGTCATGTCAGTAATTAAGGGTTTCAAGAGGGTCCCTGACCAATACAGCTGCAAACATTTGTCTGTTCTCTATTGCTTTTGCCAATCCAGCCAGTGTCTAGGTCTCCATCAGTTACCTTCAGAAACCTCAAAGCAACAGTTGTTACATTAGTTTAATTGGAAGAATAAACATAGCATAGAAAAACTTCACACTGTATAATATCTACCTTCCCTGTAGACTTTATAAAAGTTGTTAATAATTAATTTAAATTTTAACTCTTTTTATCTTTCTTCATATACATTCTTAATGAAGTTTCTCCAAAGTGAAAGACTTTTAGAGTAGATATACTAGACAAATTATTTCTAAATATTTAAGGGTTACACATAGAATAGAATCCAGTTTTGTGATTATTTAAAAAGTTCATACCCCACCTTTCTTTTGCCTGGAGATCCTTTTCTATTAATGCTTCAAACTTCATAATCTCATCAGCGACATCCTTTAAAGAAAATTTATCATCATTTAAACATTTTCATGCAACCTTCCCTACACTCTTAACTGACTGAAAGTCTGAAAATTGACTTCAGGTCTTTTTTATGTATTACAATTTATTATTAATGGACTTTTTAAACTCAGGAAAATAGTCAAATACTAAAGTGAGGTCAGAAAAAGCCACTGTGGGTAATGTTTTTTGGAACTCAGCTATAAGATATTTTGTAAGTATTTTTAAAAATGTGGATTAATTTAAAATACAATGGATTTAGGAATCAGGGAGATCTGTCAATGTCTGCTTTACCAGCACTGGTGAACTTGAGTAAAATATGTTAGTTTTTAGGATCTCAGTTTCCTTATCTACAAAATAGGGGAAAATAATACTCTACTTAGAAAGTTATTTACAAATTAAATTGTCAATCCACAGCCAGATATATAGTAGATACCCAATAATGGTAACTACTACTATCTTCTTATATCACGCAAGAGAAGATTAATAATCAAGAATTAGTATCAGAGTATTGCTTTCCTTAGGAAATATGACAGATTCTACCATATTATAAAGAATGGCAGTTGGTATGTTCTAGTAAAATATCACTACTATAGATATTGTAATTTTAAATATCCTGATAGCAACAAGTGACTTAAGATTCCTGGAATTCACAGCAACATAGTACTGCATGGTCCAAAGGAATGGTATAAGTGTATGTGTGTCTTACCTGGCCCTTGCAGTACCCATGGCAGCTATGAACTATTATAGTAGCAGCCATTCTCATATACTTTGTAGCAGCCATAGAATCTTTCTAATCATGGGAGTTCAGACCTGTACTGCCTTTTAATAAAGAGTTTTTTATGCCTAGTCTAAAGCTAAATTTTCTCTTTCTGAACAAATAGTAATATAAAGTGGATTGGCTATGCATAGACAAGTGGGATTTTGAAAACAAGTAGACAAGGATAGAGACAATTTGAAAAGAAAGTAAGAATATACCACTGTATATTTTAGACAAAGACCATTCTTTCATTAAAATAACTACAACACAATAGTAAAGGATTATCACTTACCGCTGCCTCCTGTTGCTTTTTCATCATTTTTTGGGCCTCGAGTGCTTTCAAAGTTCTATTTGATGCAGGTTTAGGAATTTGTATGATAGCTGCTTGGATTTTGGCCATTATTTCATTTTGTCGTCTTCGGTTTAAGCGTTGCTGAGTATTCCATACACATTGGTTTAGTTATTCGGTTTGTCAGAATAATGGGCAATGTAAAATTTATTGAAATTTTCAGAATCAAACATTTAACCAATAGACTAGGTACCATAATTGTGTAATGATAAGAAGCAATTGTCACTCTCATTTACATGAAAATTATATTAACATACAATTGTGAAATCCTCAAATTATATCTGATAAATATGTATATCATCATTCTGTGTTACGGCACTAAAGGATAATAAAGGTGTTCCAATACAAAAAAAAATTATTATACTTTCCTAACCCTGCCTTTGTGACCTGCCCAGTCATGGGAATAGAAAAGCCTGTCTCTGAAGATTGTAGGGAAAATTCAATCTAGGAGAGTCTGTAAGAAGGCTCCAGGGAAACCCAATAGAAATGACAGTTTATCCCAAACCCAGCTACAAAGTAAATGTAAGCTAGTGGCTACCACAAACACTGAACTGACACGCAGTTTATTTCATTATTGGTTCATCTCTTCACTATGTAGGCAATAATTATTTTAAAGAAATATAAGCAAAAGGATGTAAGTGAAATGAAAATAAAAGCCTAAAACTTAGAAGAAATATTTTAAAACTAAATGATTGAAGAGGTAACCTATGAAACCAATCATCACTTTACTACTAAAGTATTATAATAGAACTAGTAAGAGATCATTAGTTTCTATATCTGCAGATAAAATTTAATTTACCATCTAAACTGTAGAAATTGAACATAATTTAAAACTTTTCATTTTACTTTCCAAAATGTGAATTTTTATGTGTAATATGTATAATGTATTTACCTTTTGCCTTGAGAAAATAAGGAAGTCACAGGCTTTTTTTTTTTTTTTTTGCCCAGTTTGCTTCCTATGATCATTTTTAACATAACTTATTTCAGAATATTTAATGGTGTCACATTTTCCTTTTCCAAACTTTCTTTAGAAATTGTCAGCATTAGATTTGGCACTTTAAGGCTGGAGTGATTGGTTTCTGATAAGTTAGATGCCAAGCTCTTGGTCTCAACTTAAATACTATAGTCTCTTGCCATGCAATGCCAGGGGAAGTGTGTGATCCACGGCTTTGGCAAGTAATGGAAGCATAAGATCTTCCAGCACTTACTTCTTACCTTTCCCTCCTTACCTACAAGAATGCAGTCACCATTCAGGAATATTAATTTCTTATCATATATATATATATATGAACTTAAAAATGATTTTATAGTGCAATGGGAAAAACTATAATTCTTTTGCCTGTAGTTTACACATTCCACATACCTAGCCATCTGAAATTCTTCTAAAAGTCTTTAATGATTCCATACATCATTATCCAATCATGTTCTTAAGGAAACACATCATTAAAGATTTTCAAAAAAGTTTGAAAAGCAGCAGAGTGTTAGTCACAGCAGAAAGTAAGGGCCAGGAGTAAGTCAAATCAAGTTTAACATAGTTGGAAAGGGAAGCAAGCATAGAAATACCTGATAGGAGAGAGATCCAGCAGGACAGGAAGACCAAAAAATTTCAAAAGAGGGCAATGAGAGGGGAAAATGTCTGCTCTGTCTCACTCTGAGGTAACAATGGTTATGAGCCTTTGAGTTTTGTAATAGCTAATAGCAAACCCCTTTCCCTAAAGTAGCTGAGACATATATTCCCATGAGGAGAAGAGATCAAGCTGTCCTGCCCCTCCACAAAAAGGGAGTTAGTGTTCTCAGCCACACTTGGAGGTGACAGTCACAGGAGTAGGCACTAAGAGAAGGGGCAAGGTGAGGGGGAGGAAGGGCAAAGTTGTGCTGCATCACTGCATCCACAATGTGCACTAAAGGAATAACTCACAACAGGGTACTATGTCCATTTCCTGAATACTAGGAATTTCTGGGAAAACTGTTCTATAAAACCTCCTAGGTATTAAAACATCTTTGTTTTTCCCTGAAGTTTTGAAATTTTTCAAGTTTCTCAGAATGCACGTGGGCAAGATCTTTTTCATTTGTTTATATTGTTCTTCAAACCTGAATGTGACCCCATCAGAATGAATTCAGTTTGATGTGGTACTAGATTTTTAAGTCTCAAGATGAAGAAAATATTTCACAAGATTTTGCTATTAGAGAATAAAGATTATATTGCCATTATGAACACATATAAATTTATCTTTAAAATAAATCTTCTATGAATTATCATTGTTGATAATTTAAAAATTAAACCTTCATGTCAGTCATTCATATTTTTAACTGATCTGAAGACAATTCAAAATGATTTGAATTTCTTATCAAACAGCCTAGTATATATTTTATAGTTATTTTCTTCAATGAATTATATTTATATTCTTGGAATACATTTTCATATAAATAATTTCATTAAATCAATGCCAACATATCAGAGATAATATGCGAAACCAGATTCTTCCCATTATTTAAGCCACTGCTCAGTAAAAAAAAGAAGAAACATTAAATTTCAAGGCACAAGTTTCAGTTCTGTTACCTACTAACTGCATAAAACAGGGAAGTTACCTAAACCCTTTGTGTCCCAGTTTCATCATCTATAAACTGGGAATAATAGAAGTACATGTATCACAGGGCTACTTTAATGATCAAGTGAGCCAATATACACAAAGTGCCCACAACAAGGCTTGGCATATCACTATGTACATACAATAAACATCAGTCAGTATTAATATTACCATATAATGGTCACCTGCATCTCCTCCATCTGCCTTCAAAGAAAAAGGCATAACTATCTCTTTCCTAGGATCTCTCCTCCTCCACACAAATGAATAAACCATTGATCGTCTCATCTTTTCTTCCCAGAAGACATCTTTCCATTTGGTCTTCATACCACATCTATCTCCGGTGGCTGATTCTTCTTCTCAACTGGCAAGTTGTCCCACTTTCTGTTACTGTCTTAGCTGCTTTCTTATTCTGTCTCCTTTACCTCCCTATTTCTTGAAAGAATAATCTATTCTCCTTTGTCATCTCCAGTTTCCTCCTGAAGCCATAGCAATCCATACCATACCAGAAAAACATTTTTTTCTCCCAAAAATGTAAATTCTAAGAAGGTTGAGGCTTTCTCTGTGTTCATTTGCAAGTGCTTGGCATAACGTGGGAACCTGATAAACATCTGTTTAATGAATGAGTGACTCTGGAAAGTCAACCCTGACCAACATGAAGCCTAAGGGGCACTTGTTTGTCTTGGTCTAGGGCAGCTTTTCCAGCACTTATATCAGCTGCCTATAGTCTTCGTGTAGCTACACAGAAGCCCAGTGATCAGGCAGGTAGAGATCACTGACCTTGTTTTTACCATCGAGAGAAAATTGTGTCTGAAAATTTTTCTAAGACTGGCTCAAAGTTAACCAGCTTGTTTATGAAGAAGGACATAGTACTACATTATTCAGATTTAATTCTAATCTAATTTCTAGCTCTCCATGGGTATTAACTCCATTTTGTTTATCAAGTTTATAAAGGTTCCATTAAGAAACCTGAAAATAGAGATGGTCCTCACATCTATTATGTCATTGTTGATTCATAAATTAAATTTTAAAATTTAATTATTTCCATCTATATTTACTGTTTTGCATCAAAGTTGCACTAAATATTAATTCAGGGGCCTGGAAATTAATTCACTTCACTTACCACAAGGAAATAGCATAGGGACTGAAAAGAATTTTCAACTAAAGGTGTATCAATTAATCAGAGCACATTTACTGGGAATTTGCAGTGTTGAATGCACTGTACTAGACATATTTATTGAATTTGAGGTACTAAGGATCATAAGGTCACATGATACATAAATAATGAACATTTAGTCAATAATCTTAGCATTAGGAGGTTAACATCTAAAAACTGAAAATTACCTGTGCCCCAAGTCCCAGAAAAGAATCCAGAAAGTCCAAACAGAATATATGGAAAAGAGAAATTTTGGAAGGAAGAGAGATTATAGGGGTGACTTTGGGTGTGAGGGAAGAGTGGGAATACACAAGTCATATTCAAAGACACACTATCAATCATCAAAAAAAAGAAGGACATAATGTGAAATAGGAAGAAAAGGTCTAAAGGAATGGGGAAGTGAGAGGGTTAGGGGAAAGGAAAGAAGGGAAAGGAAAAAATATGAAAAAAGGAAAAAAATGGAAACAGTCTTAGTAAATAGGGAAGGGTGGAGGGGGTGAAGGAAGGGCAGGGGAATGGGGAAAAAATAAGAATCAAGATACATCATGTAAAGGTACAAGATCCCAATGATGAATGTAACTTCATTGTGTACCTAAAATGTACCAATAAACTTAATGGAAAAAAAGACATAATGCTGAGGACTATGAAGAAATAAAGTTAGAAAGATGGGTTGAGACTGTTTAGGGAAAGATTGTGAAGATCAGGTAAAATTAGAGACAGGATATATATGTAAAATGATTTCTGAGCCAAAGAAAAACACAATGAATCTGGACTTTAGAGGAGATTCATCTGGCAGTTTACTAGCTTCAAGCAAAAACCCTGAAGCTGGAGAGATATTGAGGAGGTTGCTGCCTGAGTATATAAGGAGATCTGAGCAGATATAAAGGTAAAAATGGAGAGAAGTGGGAAGGCACAAAAAGTATTGGGAAAGAGGAACAGACTTAAAAACTATTGACCATGTGAATAAAAGGGATATGGTACCAAAAAGTGGATAAGTTAAATTAGAAATATTAACAAAACAAAAATCAAACTTGGTCAGTAACACACATAGGGACATATATACCTGATGGAATTTCTTTGACAGTACCACAGCTCTGTCATTATTCTTTGCCAAGTTTTACATTGTGACATGCTTATCAGGTCTCTTTGTGTACCTACCTCTCGGGAAGCCTCGCTTTTCATGTTTTGAAATTTTAAACTTGCCAGAGGCTGTGTGGTTGGTATTTGTACTCCAGTCAGCCCACTTTTCTTCTTTTTCTGAAGAGCAATGTACAATTGATATAGGAGTTTTGTTGCTGCTCCGGGCTTTTCTGTAATGATGCTTTGGACCATATTCTTATCAAACTGCACACTGAGAAGGTGAAGTGTTGGCTCCAAGCGGGAAAAATTATTAAGTCTGGCTGTTGAAATCCTAGGCATTAAAATACTTTATTTAATTAGACACTAGTATTGAGCTAAAACAACAAATATCAGAGAAACTAGCATGACACAATATTATGAATTATGCCATGTTCTTTTAAATGTATCATTCCTCTCTAAAACCACTGAAAATAAAAATATACTGAAATTTTTTTATTGTTCATGTCTATCTGAACTCCATTTATCTTTCTGGAATGAACTAAAATTCATTAATTTTATATTATTTTTTGCTTGAAACTGAAAATAAAAATTTTATAGAAAGCATAGAGAGATAATCAGACACCTTCTTCCAAAGAGAAAAATTTAACTACAGTTTTCAAAACTATTTTACTTAGAAGACAGAATTGTAATTTAGATGTCCATTTCTACTGATTTCCCACCAAAAATGATACCTCAGACTTGAGAGAATTGCCATATATTTGAATGCCTAAAGAAAGAAAATGCTTAGGAGTCCTAGCCACCTTACTCATCACATGTATGTGGAAAAAGAACTGAAAGTCACCTGTCAGAGTTTTGGTCTGAGTCATAACCTTGGGCTACAATGGTTAGGGACACCATAATTCAGGAAGGAAAATCCAAAAGCAAACATTACCCATTTCTAAATTTTATCAAAGCTTAGCCCTCGACCAAGAAAAAGGAAGAACATGTCCTCTTCTTTCACTTGTATAATATGGCTCCCAAAATGCAGAGGAAGACTGTAAATATTATAGTTCACCTAACTATTAGGCTTTAAGATGGCTTTTATGAGCTGGCCAACATATTCAAGTATAATAATATTTTTTATGGTAAGTTTTAAGGAAAAAAAATTTTGGAAATGTAACTTTCATGTAAATCAGTGGAAGTTCATGCTTGTTAAAGAATTTGTACATTGAACACAATAGGATAATCAACAGTTGTTTTTGAACACAGAAAAACTACTGGGACATCTTTGCTTAGTCTCCAGAGCATATGATGTAAATGATGACCCCTCTGAGGGAATAAGGAATATGTTCTGGGAGAAGTCTTCTCCTTCTCTACGTGTGGCCCTTATTTGCCAAGGGACTACCTTCTCTCCTCTTTGACACCTGGTGAGGGAAAACAACCTTTTGCAAGGTAAGTAAAAGCTGTCCTCCCAAAGATATTCTTATATATTTTTTCCTTTTTACTAGTATGCTCATTATTCACCCTTTGAGAAGAACTAAAAACATTCTAAAACAGATAATGTAGAATTAGATGAGTTATTCTTAGAATTAAGTCATTTCTTAAACAATAAACTTCGAGTGATTAGCAGCATGTAGTTTATAACTTTTATTTCAGATTAAGGAAATTAAAAGTATTAGACAAGATGCCCACATCTTGAGCCCCGGCAATAGAGAGTTACCTAAGAAGTGGATTTTGAGAAATAAGGATCTTTTCTCTACCAATTATATTATTATGAAGGTCAAGCCCATGGATTTACTCATCTTTTCCTTATTTAAAAGAAAGTGAGACATCCCAAGAACTTAAGACAGATGATATTCAGTTGTCAGTAAAAGGAAGTCACTCTCTATGGAATCAGCCTGGGTGCCCATCAAAAGATGAATGGATAAGGAAAATATGGTATACATACACAATGGAGTATTTATGCAGCCATAAAAAAGAAAGGAATCATGTCATATGCAGAAAAATGGGTAGAATTAGAGACTATCATATTAAGGGAAATAAATCTGACACAGAAAGACAAGTATTACATTTTCTCTCATACATGGGACTGAGAAATTTTAAAAAATGACTTGAAAGTAGTATAGGGATTAAAAAGGTTGGGGGGAAAGGGAGAAAGAGGAAGATAAGAAAGGGTAGTAGAGAAGATATATATGATCAAGATATGTGCATGTATGGAAATGCCACAGTGAAATCCATTAATTTGTATAATTACTATTTATTAATAATTATAATTTAACAATAAAATCATAAAAAAGGAATGCAGGAACTCTTAGTGAGACAGAAATTCTTCCCAGTGGAAAACAAGCAGGGCTGCTGCAGCTAATGTTACTCATTAGTTACTCCAAACACTGGACAAGGATATGAAATAGATCATGTGTTCAGCTTTCCTAGCCCTGTCCCTGGCACAATACTGCTTTATTATTTATTTATTTCTTGTACAAGGGATTCTCTATTCTGCAAGACCAGCACCTTCACAGTTGGGTCAACCTGTGGCCTGGCCAATAATAGCTAGTTTAGAACAGTCATTCCTCAGTATCCATAGGACTTTCATTCCAGGATCTTCTACGGATATCAACATCCTTGGACATTTATACAACGGCAACAATATTTGCTTATAACCTATGCATATCTTCTCCTATACTTTAAATCATCTCTAGATTACTTATACTACTGCAATACAAATTCTATGTCAATATTTTTATACTGAAGCTTTAATTGATTCAAGATGTTTAAAGACATCTGTTTATTAGGTGACCACTGAGCTATACAAGAACACAACAAAGAATACAGATTTTTACAGAATTAGTCCAAGAAATTCACTAAACAAACTAAAAGCAGCAACAGAAGTCATAAATAGCAACAACAACAGATCTTGGGGAGGTTCAATAATTTTAGTTGCCACATGATATTATTTTCAATGTTCAATTTTCAATATGAGACATATGGAGAAACAAGAAGGTACAGCCCACACATAAGGAAAAAAGTTGGTAGAAACTCCCTGAGGAATACCAGCAAGTGCAATTCCAGAACATAAAAGTACTGCTATAGCAAAATATTAAGTAGAAAAATAAGTTTAGAAAATATATAAAGCCTCAAAAACCTCTGAGACATCATCGAGCATACTAACATACACATATGGGTATTCCCAAAATGAGACAAAATGAAGAAAGGAGTAAAAAGAATAGTTGGAGGGCTGGGGATTTAGCTCAGTGGTTGTGGCGCCTGCCTTGCTAAGCATAAGGTCCCAAGTTCGATCCCCAGTACCAAAAAAAAAAAAAAAAAAAGAATAGTTGGAGAAATAATGACCAAAATTTTAACAAATTTGATGAAAGTTGCGAATCTACACATTTAAGAATCTCATTGATCTCTAAATAGGCTAGTCTGAAGATATCTGTGCATAGATAATCAAGCAGCAAGAGAACATCAAGTCATCACAGAGAAAGGTTTCCCAATAAAATATGTAAATGACTTCTCATCAGAAACCAAGGAGGTCAGAAGGCCGTGGAATGACATATTCGAAGTGCTAAAAGGGAAAGGGTGCCAATCAAGAATTCTATATTTAGCAAAACCATACATCAAAGTTGGAAGTATAAATAAAAACTACGAGAGAGAATTCGTTGTCCACATTTCTACCATATAAGACATACTAAGAAATTCTTAAGGCCTAAATGAAAAAACACTAAATAGCAACTCAAATCACATGAAGAAATAAAGTACTATACATGTAGAGTTAATTATATAGAGAAATATACAAAAGAGTTTAAATGTACTTTCATTTGTAGCTATTTTCTTCCATCTGACTTAGAGGATAATTACATAAAACAATAATTTAAAAACTGGTCTGTTTGGATGTCAATAATTGTATAAAGGAAGGAGGAAAGAACTGGGATATAGAAATTTTTGTATGGTAGTGAAATTAAATTAGTATTTATCTGAACCATCATGATTTGGCTTAAAATACAAATTATAATCCTCATGGCAACTTCTATGAAAATAATTCAAAATTATACTAAAAGAAATAATAAGAAAATTAAGATTTTATTTGAAAATATTAACACAAAAGAAGGTAGCAACGGAGGAGCAAAAGACATATAGAAAACAAATACCAAAATGGCAGATTTAAATCCTACCTCTTCCATAATTACACTAAAAATAAAAAGAATAAATAACTATATTTACAAAGCAAGTATTGTTAGACTAGATGCAATAACTTTACAAAGATTGATGCAATAAAGTGTTTACTCACAGGAATATACTAAAAATACTGAATTGTATCCTTTAAAATGGTGAACTGTGGTTATATGAATTTTATCATAATATAAATACTAAAAACAAAAATATTATGGAATTTTAAATTAGCACTTAAGTTCTATTTTATATTTTTAAAACACAAGGGCTAACACTAATTTGTCACTTGGATCATTATATATTAATTCATTTCTTCTCTTAATAAAAGGAATAATCAATTTTCAAAAGAAAAAGTAACCTGGCCTACGAGTGCAGGAATATGAAAGATACTAAATGAGAATATAAATTTCTCTCCTTTGTACTCCTGAGGCAATAAAGAATGTATATGTGGGGAAGCAACACTTACCATACCAATGCTTTGATTGGTTTAGGTTTGGAAATAATCTTGTGAATGATGATCTATTAAGTTAACATTGAATACTTCAAATGCCTAAATATTTAACTTTTTAAATGTATTAATTTCACTAACCTGCTGTCTGAAAATTCTGAAAAATCATCCTGAAGTTCAAATTTGTGCAGAACTTCTCCAATCAGATAGCCACTGGAAAACGCCTTTGCAAATGACTTGGGATCTGAATTTGAATACATTGATATAAAAAAGTAAAGATACTGTTGCAATATAACATGTACATAGAGTAAAATTCTGTAACTTAACTTGAACCCAAATGCCATTAATATATTTCTAGAGGGCCAGAGATTTAGCTCAGTGGTGCTGTACCTGCCTCGAAAGTGCAAGGTCCTAAGTTTGATCCCCAGTACCAAAAAAAAAGTATATATTTCTAGAAACATCTTTTAATAACTGAAGTAAAAGATTTAAGTTTGACAGTAGACAAGAATCTCCAAATAAAAATCAATAGCTGATGAAATATAAAATTTTGAAAGTGGAAAATGATTTCAAATTAAAATGAAACAAAAGACATCCAATAAAATTTCTAAAGAACCCTAGATCTAAAAACAAACCTTCAAATTATTTTATAAAATTACATTCTATTACTTTAGTTATTTATACAACATATTATGGAACATATTCTATCCAAGTGAGGTTCAATCTTAAATTTTAAAATAAATATTTATTTTAATGTGTAAAACAACAAGGAGTATACTAAAATAGTTTGTACCATCTTAAATAAAACCTATTGAATATAATCAAGCTTTTTTGCTTTGTGGCTCAGAGAAGTCACTGTAACCCAGTTCTTGTCCCATGCAAAGACAGAAATATCTCAGGGGAAAATTAGCTTTGGAGGCAGACATAATCTATGCTGGAATCTTGGCTCACTGCCCCTTACCATCCATGGGATCTTGGGTAGGCTGCTTAACCCTCCTGAGTTTCTGTGTCTGACAGGAGAGGAGAAGAGGGAGGGGAAGTAATATTTATGATATACCACGTACAAGAACCAAATACCCACAATGATGTTTAAATCAGGTTAAAAATATGTACATCCTCAAACATTTATCAGTTCTTTACAGAAAAATCTTTCAAAAGCTTTTTTTCTAGTTTTTTGAAATACACAGTTTATTACTGGTGTATATAGTCAACTCACTGTACAACAGCACGTCACAACCTTTTGCTACATAGTACTCATTGACCAACATTCCCCCATGTCTCTCTCCTCCCTTCTCTCCCCAGACCCTGGGAACCAACATACTATGTGAACATCTATATGATCAACATTTTTAAACTTCATGGATGAGCAACATCAGATACTTGTTTTTCTGTGCCTGGCTAATTTCACTTAATGTAATCTCCAAGTTCATTTATGTTGTTGTAAATGACAGATTTCTATTCTCTTTTATGGATGAATGGCACTCCATTGTGAGAAGCTATTTTAGACTGTAGATAATATATGAAAAATTGCCAGCTGCCATGTCTTCCATATAGTAGGCACATAATCACAAATGCAGAAAAAAATTTTACATATTCAATAGAATACAATGTGTTTAACTGAAGCTTGGTTGTGAGGCTTCAGGAGGGTGAGTTGGCCCATAAAGTCCACTGCACAGAGACCTTACTCAGAAGACTATCACATGTAGAAGGTTCTTTTGCCCATCTGACACCAGTTCACAATATTAACTACGACTTTCATATTATTTCTCGTCAAAGTACTCGAAACTGCATAATATACCAATTCTTGGGTTGAAGCAATAATATAACATCAGTTTATGTGAATTATTTCCTTTGATTCTGTTTATTCAAGGTGAGCTTCTGAATTGACTACCATTAGGATCTATTGTCTACGGTTATACAAACTTTGATTTACAATAGAAAAATACAGGATAAGAAACCTGCAGGGATAAACAGTTTTGTCTATGAATCACTTTAGCAAATAAATAATTGAATGTTGCAATTCCTAGGAATATAAAAGCTTTAAATCACCTAAACCTATCCCTAGCTATAGTGCACTGGAGGAGACACACTGTATTTATTATTAAAATTTGGAGTCTGGAATTTGCTCATGGCCTTTAGCAAGCTTGTCCTCAAGCAGGCTAGTTATATCATTATTTCAAAAATGTTCTGGTCAGAATTATCTCACTCTAAAAACATAATACATTCTTTCAGAGTTGATGGTTTGATGCCCTTCTCCATCAGCCATAAGGGTCCTTGCAAAACTGTTCCTTAATTTGAAACACTGATGTCACTCTTAAAAAATATACTTAAAGACTAGTCACCTACGGAAGGAGAACTTGTAATTCATGGTATATATTAGATCTATAATTGAGCTAGTTCTGGTGGACATCCTGGAAACCTCTTGCAGGATGAGTTAAGTTTGCACTTCATAATCAATGCATCCAACTGTCCTGACTTTAAGATGGCACCACCTGAACATCAGAGTGCCTTGTGATGCTATTAATATGAAGAATGGCTTGCTCTTCCACTAAATGCATCTGTTATTCAGCAAGAGCCTTCTAGCATCATACCTTTGTAATCTGAAGTAACTGGAATCAAATGGCTCCAGATTTCCTCTTAAGTACAGAAGCAGACCATCACCTTCTTTGTGTTACTGTTGTTTGCTCCTTCCCTCACAGACCCCAGTGCTATCTCCAAAGTCTGTTCCCAAAAGCTATGCCTTCTACCTCTCTGTCTGTTTTTTAATTTCTTCCTCCTTTCTTCACTTCTCTTCCTTAGCCTATCCCTATTCTCTTAATTTCCTACACACCCTTTTGACCTGGAGTCATTGCCAGTCTATAAATGCAACTTTTGTTCTGGCCTGAGGCCATTAGGCTTTTGGATCAGTTTCTGGCTTATTGCTTTCTGTTTAGGAGCAACTGCTATGTCACCTTCAGTTAGTCTCATTTTCGTCCTCCCTCCCTTTGGAGTTCAAATTAGGTCTGTTGTCCGTAGTGATTGAATGCCTGAAGTCTCTCCCGTGAATAACTAGGGGATAACTGCATCCTATTCTGTCACCTTCAATGTAGCAGACAAATGGTCTGTACCAAATTATTCATTACAAAAAGGTCACTTGAAAATTAAAATCATAATGCATTTCCTTTGAAATGGCATGGTGTATTAATAAGGCAATTCAGATATAAATAAAACAAAGGTGTCTCTTGTATAAAGGTCAAAGAATAACAGTAACCATTTATGTATTTCCTTATTAGGATAGTTTTCAACAAATAAGTATATAAATATCTGTCTACAATTTTTATGCATGACATTTCAGATTTATTGTAAATCAGCAAAAAGTACACTGAGTAAAGAATATAGCAAATTCAGAGCAACACGAAAAGTCGGAGAAGACACAAAAGAAACAGAAAAGAATAAATCCAAGAAATTAGACAAGGGGAGAAGGCTGAAAAAATATACAAGCTAAGAAGATATAAATTAAGAAATATAAAATGAGAATGTTGGGCAGGTAACTATACACGAGAGGGCCTGAGGGATGGGGGAGGGGAGCTCCAAAATAGCACGTATTGTCAGTTAAGTAAAGACTTCAATGTATAATACATTCATAGTCATTCATTAAATCGCACAGAACACCATGATATCTTAAGGTTACGCATCATGCACATTCCTTCCGATACCTGGCCATCTGGCCATCTAACTCCATAAAAAAGCATAGAGCATTCCTGGCTGCCATAACCTACAGCCCAATGATATCAGGAAAAGAAATGTTCTTTAAAGACCCTCTTGCCTTAGACTGGGACCTGGTTTAAACCTGGTTTTAACTTATCTTTCTCAAATATTCTTTTGTAAATTCCTTAATTAAAGGCCCTGAAGAAACACTGACCATCCAAAAAGATAGGAAGACATTTTGCAATTTTAAAGTAACTTCTCAGTAAAAATGTTGACAAGCATGGTAATTATCCTAGTTCTGTGAACACCAGGAGTAACTTTTGTGTGCATAAAAATGTATCCAAACTCACACTTCATGCAGATGCCTTCCTGGCACTGCCTGCCTTCTCCCTTGAAGGAGTAAGTCTCTCTGTATCTACTTTACAATAAATAAATTCTACTTACACTTTTGTACAGTCTATGTGTCTTTACTGAATTCTTTCATCAAGGACCCAAAGAACTGAGGACCACAGAAATTGAGGGACCCAGCCTCCCAATGAGAAGAAGACAGGTTAAAAAGACCACCACCAACAACAACAAAAAAGACAAGAGGCAGAGAGTAATGAATAGGTTGACAGGAAAGAGAAATAGTGAGTAAGAAGTAAAAGCTTATTTTTTCCTTTTATTTTATGTTTTTCTTCCCACTAAATGTCATTGCATAGTATGATGAGTTTCATGATGGCCATCTCCATAAATTTGTACTAAAAGTTGGAATTTCCTGTAGAAAAAAAGTATCAAGTTCACTCCAGGGCAATGAATAATAAATTAATAGAAATAAATAAACCTGAAAGCCCAGGGACAATCTTTATCTTGAAGCTCAAATGATTTCTATCTGGGATTATGGTTATTCAGCAACAACTCAACCCTGACTATAGTCTCTGAAGCCAAGTGGTTCCCCTCCATCACTAAAGTTTCTTTTTGCTAAAATCTTTGTCATGGGCCTCTGTGATGGGTTAGTGCTAGGCTTGGACGGCAGGTGAAATGGTCTTGCACTTCTCTATCAACATGACCCTGAGTGAGCTGGGAAAAGTCCTCACAGCCATCCACGTTCCAAAGAAGTGCTGAGGAGAGTGCAAGCTCTGCATAAAGGGCCTCTGTTTGACTCCTTGCTCAATTATAAGTCACATGGCCTTGGGCAATGACATACCATGCTTCTCCTTTAAAACAGAGGGGCAATTACGGGTTTTACCTCCCTCGTAAAAGTTGCTTTGAGAATTGAGTTATTGAATATAAATTTCTTAGCATAATGCCTGGTCCAGTCTAAGTTTTCAGAGACAATTTTTACTGTTATTGTTACTGTCTTCTAACTTTAAAAAGCAGGTCATATTAATTACATAATCTGTAAATTCAATAATGCTTATAGTATAAACATACTTGTTCAAACAATATTTCAATACTCAGGAAGCAAATATTTGTCATTGTCCTTAAAATCAGATATATGTCCATTCCTAGGGCCCTATCCTTCCAGGCAAGTAGCTGTAATAAGTTGATTTTTAGAATAAAACACTTAAATATTTACAT